AGTATGCTACATTCTCATAGCATGCCCATTCCCACAGCATGTTCACATGTTGCACACCCACAGCATGCTACACACGCACAACATTCCCACACCCGCAGCAAGCCCACATCAACATACCCACACCTGTAGCACGCTCTCAGCACCATCCGCAACATGCCAACTCCCACAGCATGCCTACTACCACAGTACGCCGACAGCCCCAGTACGCCCACAGCCACAGTACATCCACATGCACAATATTCCCACAGCTACAGTACGCCCACAGCCACAGTACGCCCATAGTTACACATTTACACCTGCACGAGGATACCGAGACCACGCCCACCCTGACCAACAAAATATATCTTCTGGTCAGAAAACAAACACCTTGAAGCACCTTGACCACCTTAATATCTGAATCATTAGCCACAAGCTGGAGGCGAAGTCTGGCGAGGAAGACCGGAGTAACTGGGGGTTGGCGAGGAAGACCGAAGTAACTGGGGGTTGACGAGGAAGACCGGAGTAACTGGGGGTTGGCGAGGAAGACCGGAGTAACTGGGGGTTGGCGAGGAAGACCGGAGTAACTGGGGGTTGGCGAGGAAGACCGGAGTAGCTGGGGGTTGGCGAGGAAGACCGGAGTAGCTGGGGGTTGGCGAGGAAGAAGGCAGGAGTCGGTAATGTAAATAGCGGGGTTTAGGGGTTGGGGAGATGAACCAAGGTTGGGGTTGGGAGTTGTTGGGGTTTGGGAGCCTTGAAGTCGAAGTTAAGGGATTTCAGACTGGGAGGGGGAGAATGAACAAGAGAGGGGTTGTAGTGGGTCGGAAAGTGGGTTGATGAGGAGGTGGGTGGGTTGGCGGGTGGGTTGGAGAGGAGGTGGGCGAAAGAACATTTAACTTGTGTCATGGATAACTATTAAGGCGAGCATCGCTACAAGGGCAATGGCCAAGACGGCCCAGTGGCCACTGTGGCCACTGTGGCCAGTGGCCGTGACTGGCCACTCTCAACATCGCTTATTAAAACCGCTTTGAAGCCGCCGCCGCTATATATAAATCTTCCGATTCAGCCGTATCAATCTTTGGTGACCCGCCCTGGACCCGCACTACACAGCTTACCCGTAACCCTGGGTTGCATCCCGGGTAACTCCTGTGACCAAACCTCAGATTAGATTTAGATTTTGCCGCCGAAGTGGTTAGGTTATTGCGCACCCCATATCCATCTATGGACGGCAGCGCGAAAGGCCTAGGAACGTAGGGCCCAAAAGGATTTACAGACGTACATCTGGATTCGTATCTGCAGTTCACTTATCTATTAAATTGAAGAAATTTGCTTAATATATCTTGTATCATATTTTCATTAATAATATATCCTGACAAATAACATAGGTTATTATACTGTCCAAATCTATATTCGTCAAAAAGTGGACAATTAAGCACACACTGTTCAAGATTGTGACCATAGGCCTGGCCACATACTTTGCATTTGGTTTGATTATCATCTGTGTCTCTGCCAGACTGCCACATGCACTTGTAACTAAACTCACGAAATCGTAATGGCACGATTACAAACAAACCATACCACGGGCGGGGTTAGAATCCGCGGGTTCTAACCCCTCCCGTGGTATTTTTTTTTTTTACTTGTAACTAAGCTTGGCTACCACATCAGTCTGTTTACATTGCAAGTTGTTCCATAACGTACTTATCAATGTTCATGTTATTCCTCAGCGCCGGACAATATAAGAAAAGATGAAGAAAATAGAAGAAAAAAAAAAACTCAGGAAGCCGAAACAAAATCCATTCAAATTTTTAAAAATAAAATTAAACATGAAGGACAAAAATACAAAAAAAAAAAAATGTATATATATGATAAGAAAAGTATGCCTATAAAAAAAGTGGACTTCAGTCCCACCCAGCCAAATAAAATAGATACATTACAAAAGTAAAGAAAGTAATTGATGTTGACCAAAATATTAATATGTGAAGGGCTAAACCCGTAGCTCTAAGTTCAGACGAGATGTGTCGTCTTGGGTTGTACAGGAGTGGGCAGAAGACTTAAACTGACTGATCTGGATTTTTTTTTTAGCACATCATAAGGCAAACGGGTAAAGCAAAAAATAAAAAAATGACCTACACTGGTGCTGCTATATACACGGAGCGATAAGGAAGAGTTTTGGGGAATCTAGTTACCTTTCTCCACGGTATATTTTTCATAAAAATGCTACGAAAGATCGTTAAATTGGATAATACAGGTGGAGGGCAAAATCCTCCTATGTAACTGTTCGGTTTGTATAACTTTGATATATCTTTGCGGGTTTTGATAGTTATCCTGCAGCCTGGCCTGGGCCAGTCTTGTCTGATGAACCAAGCTGTTGATGCTGGTGACCCACTGGCACACACATCCATCATAGCCTGGTTAATCCAGTACGTGGCGGAGGTGCTTTTCAAGTTACCTCTTGAAGACTTCTACAATTGTTCCATTAGTGTTTCTAACATCATCTGGTAAAATGTTAAATAATCTGACACCACAAATGTTGATACAATGTTCTCTTACTGTACCCAGGGCGCCCCTGCTTTTCACTGGGTTTATTTTACCCTTTTATCCCAAATCAGTCACTCTATTGTTGTGCTGTAGGAATGTGTGGATTTGGTTGCTACGCCATTAAGTAATTTGCATTTATATATTATCATATACCTCTTCTCCACTCCACAGAGTACATATTTAGGACTTTTGAGACCTTCCCAGAAATTTAGATGATTCGTTGGCTCTATGCGGCCAGTAAATTATTTCTGTATTTGTTCCAGCATTAATATCTCTTGCTCTGAATGGAGCTGCCAACACTAAACAGTACTCTAAGCGAGAGAGCACAAAGTGACTAGCGTCACCAGTGGCATTATTTCAAATTTCACGGATTACTATTTGTCCGTTTTTTTGTGTCACTTTCATGGGGGATGATTTTTTTTTCATTCTCCAACTCAATTTCGTTTAGTGGATTGTTGAACATTATTTCATATTCATATTTCATATTTTAGAATTTCGCTTATTTATTTTTCATTGTCAATGCATGAACCTCCTGCGATTAATTCTACAGGTACTGTAGTTCTTAACTTGTATTATGTATATACGTAGAAATTTTTGTGTACGAAATCTCAAGTTTCTGTAGTATCCTTTGCTGCGACAGATTCACATTTTTAATCAGTTTGGTAACCCTTTCTCTTCTGTACATTCTTCTACTACCTCTTTGATCTATTAGGTTTTCTCAATGGTATATATTTTATAAAGACCTTCCATGCTCTGTGAGGGTTTAGGATTTAGGGTTCTCATAACTGTTGTCCAGAGTATGTCTGACAGTAATTTCTTTATTTTGTCCAGGTTAAATTTTCGGTTGTTGAAGTTAAATTTACTCTTGCAGTATTACTGAAGTTTTCAGCCTCCTGTATTTATTCTTCTTAACATTCCTATGATGTTGTGTCGGAATATATTGTATTTGTAATTGTTATTTGTCTGATTAGTTCCTCGTTATTTCCGAAGATAAAGTCCAGTATGCTTTCATTTCAATTTGTTTTTGTTATCTGTTGGTTTAAAGGAAACTTTACAATAATCCTCATTAGCTCTCTGGTGTGTATCTGCAGTACTAAGTATTACTAGTACAAAGCTTAGACTCACCATCTTATTTTTCATATTTTAGAGGTTGAAATATCCGAGGAGGATAATGTCTGTTGAAGGTTATTCAGATTTCCATGACATATTTTCCTTAACAGTTACGTGAACCCCTGAGCCGTCTGCTGACCGTGATTTATTTACAAGGATATTCATTAGATTCTTGTTCTCCTGTATATCAAATTCTGTTACTGATATGTCTCTAATGGGACTCACGAAATCGTAATGACACGATTGCAAACAAACAGTACCACAGGTGGGGGTTAGAACCCGGGATCAGAAAGTCTCAAAACTCCAGACTGTCGCGTTAGCCACTGGGTCTGCTAGCCACAATAAGATTCATCCAACTGGCTAGCTGGCCCAGTGGCTAACGCGACGGTCTGGAGTTCTGAAACTCTCTGATCATGGGTTCTAACCCCGCCCGTGGTATGTTTTATGTCTGTAACGGGTTCCGACAAGCATTTGCCTCGTGGGCCGGTCTCAGACCAGACCCAAATTGAAAAGAAAATGTTCCACGAATTAGAACTGCTGTCTTAAAACACACACAGGAAAGTAACGTGTATACGTAATATAAATGAAAGTTTGTCAACCTTATTTTGCATTTTACATGTTAACAACACAAAAACTGTATTGTTCAATGGTGAAATGGATGGACTCGTGTATTTATTTAGATTTAAAAATCTATTGAGAGTTCCCATAAAATACTAATCTGGAAATCTACTGATCTGGAAACTACGAAGAAGGAATAAGAGACAAACTGATAACAGAAGTAGAATTACCGACAATGTGTTAGGTAGAAGGACACATTAGTCACACGTGTGTCCTCTTACCTAACAAGAGACAAACTATTTCAATGGAAGAGAGATTTTGTTGAAGAGAAAAATGCGAACACTGATACGAGGATAAAATCATGTTACCCTGGAAAATTGTCACCGGTGATTCCTACAGCGATCAGTATTTGTGTAGATGATTCTAATTTATGTGACTTGCTAGATGGAGCTAAAAACTATGTAAATGGTCGTAAATGTGAAAATTCTATGCAGATTAATTAAAAAATAACTATGGAGACTAATTAAATTAATAACTATGCAGATTAATTAAAAAATAACTATGGAGACTAATTAAAAAATAACTATGCAGATTAATTAAAAAATAACTATGGCTTGAGTATCTGACGATAATTATCATATAAAGGAAACTAGAATAACAAAATACTAAGAGAAAGAAAGGGGGTCTAGGAATATAGGCAAAATATTTCTAAATCTAAAATGATTTAGAAATTCTTATGCTTCACGAACGTCAAAATAACCTTCAGATTAATGAATAGAGAAATGCTAAAAAAAAAAAAAAAACGGTTCACAACGTACGTTAAGCCAAAATTGGAATATGCAGCAGTAGTGTGGTGTCCACACCTGAAAAAAAACGTGAATAAGATAGAAAAAGTTCAAAGATGTGCTGCAAAATGGCTTCCAGAGCTAAAAAAAAAAAAAAAAAAGAGTAGCAAAGAAAGACTTAAAACAGATATTCTCTCGTTGGTTGATAGAAGAGGAGATATGATAACTACATATAGGATCCCAAAACAGGAGAATATAGATATATGATTTCATAGAACCAGCTACAGGGAGAATAACAAGACAAAATTTTAAACTATGAAGAAAGAGCTAAAACCTACACCCTTAGCGGTTTCTCCTAAATATAATCATAATGGCTAAAGAATATATGTTAAGAAAATTGCAATACAAAACAAAAGTTTTGAAGTTTTAATGAAACATTACAAAATAAAAGACCAGAAGTTAATAAAACTTAATGTATATATTTCATAATAATTCTTGGGAGAAGGAAGAGTTTAATATAATTGAGGAATTACATAATATACCGAGGGAATTATTAATGGAGACACTAAAAAAAAAAATAGCGTACTTCGATATTTTAATTATATAAAAAATGCTGGGTAACTTTGGAGGCTGGAACCTCAAATAAAAAGTCAATAACATTTCTAATAATGATAATTATTTTATGCCTCAGTGTGTTGTTTGAAGGGACGAAAAAAAACGGAAGAAGTCATCATTACGAAATCTAATATTTACTAAAACAGAAGTCCAAATTTTTATAATAAACAAATGTACTTGGAAGGAGTGACCAAATGTTGAGGAAATGACATTGTTAAATATAACGTAGGAAGTGAAAAACGAGAATTAAAATAGGAACACCTTGAATATGAGAAAGGAAAATATAATACATTGACAGTATTTTAGAGAAAGTAAAAGGGGTATGATAGGTAGGGACAGATAGGCTATAATTTCCACATATTTCTGTAGCATGCATGAACATGGAATACGTTTGTTCCAAGAAAGAAATAGCAGATGCATAAAATTATATAGTGAATGATGGAGAGAAAGATATAAAGTACCGAAGCGATGAATGAAGACAGTATATGGAGTATAAACGATTCTTTATTCACAAGGACCAGCGAACACACACACACACACACACACACACACACACACACACACACACACACACACACACACACACACACACACACACCATCTTTCAACTGAAATCAGTCATCGGGTAAAACTGCTCTTTCTAATTATGCCCCCACCCCCGTTCATCTGCAACCTCACCCCCTTCCCTCTTCTGCGGCTCCTCCCCGTCTTGCAACCCCCTCCCTCCCCCTGCACAACCCCCCTCCCATCCACTCTAATCCTCGTCTGTAACTTCACCTCTGTCACCCCTCTCCCCCCATCCTGAAGGATCATTGGACAGCAGCATCGCAGCAGAAGCAACATTAGATGCAACAGCAGCAAGGGTAGACAGGGATACAGTAGCAGTAATGGCAGACGCAACAGTAACAGATACAGTAGCAGACGCAGTTGCAGCCGTAGAAGCAACAAACGCAACACAGTCACAGTAGCAACATCGACAGGTAGCAATAGCAGTAGCAGTAGTAGAGGCAGCAAGGGAAGGCAGCAGGGGCAGCAGTAGGGGCAGCAAGAGAAGACAGCAGGGGCAGCAGTAGTAGCAGTAGAGGCAGCAAGGGAAGGCAGCAGTAGTAGCAGTAGAGGCAGCAGGGTCAACAGTAGCGGAAGTATATGCAGAAAGGCAAGACAGGAGGGTCAACACTAGATGAAGTGAAGGCAGCAGTAGAGGCTGCAAGGGAAGGCAGTAGAGACAGCAGGGGAGGGAAGCATAGATAGCAGTAGAGGCAGCAGTAAAAGCAGCAAGGAAATTCATTAGAGGCAGTAATGAAGGCAGCAGAGGAAGACAGCAAGGGAAGGCAGCAGAGGAAGGCAGCAAGGAAAAGGTAGCAGACGAAGGTAGCAAGGGAAAGGTAGCAGGGGAAGGCAGCCAGAAAAAGGCAGCCAGGGGAAGGCAGCAAGGGAAGGCAGCAAAGGAAAGCAGCAGAGGAAGGCAGCCAGGGGAAGGCAGCAAGGGAGAGGTAGCAGGGAAAGGCAGCAGGGAGAAGGCAACAGGGGAAGGCAGCAGGGAGGAGGCAGCAGGGAGGAGGCAACAGGGGCAGGCAGTAGGGGAAGGCAGCAAAGGAAGGCAGCAGGGAGAAGGCAACAGGGAAAGGCAGCAGGGGAAGACAGCAAGGGAAGGCAGCAGGGAGAAGGCAACAGGGGAAGGCAGCAGGGGAAGACAGCAAGGGAAGGCAGCAGGGAGAAGGCAACAGGGAAAGGCAGCAGGGGAAGGCAGCAGGTCTCACTGCCTGATATGGTGCATCGATTTTTAATTGGGTTTCATTCCGGTCAGCAGCTGCTCCTCCCGGGTAATTACCGACCGCCTCCCCCGACACTCACATGGGACTAAAAATCGGGGAGAGCTGACAGTGGGGGAATTGGAGGGTGGGGGAGGAAGGGAATGTGTGGGTGGAATGGAGGGGGCAAAAGTGGGGGAAGGAAGAGACGAGAGAGAGAACTGGGGAAGTATTGGTGAAAGGAAGATGAGGCGTAAGAGAGGTGAAGGACATAATAATAATAATAATAATAATAATAATAATAATAATAATAATAATAATAATAATAATAATAATAATAATAATTAATAATAAAAAACAAAAATAATAATAATAATCTATATTTCTTCAGATACATGTACAAGGTATACAGACAGACCATAGTTGACATCAGTGACATACTGCCATATAGAAACCTTAATATGCCGAGCATTTCGGGAAAATTAGGTCAGTTTTGTTCCCAGGATGCGACCCACACCAGTCGACTAGCACCCAGGTACTTATTTTACTACTAATTGAACAGTGGCATCAGGTGTCTTAAGGAAACACGTCCTTATGTTTCCACCCGGACCGGGGATCGAACCTCGGACTTCAGTGTGTGAGCTGAGTGCGCTAGCAATCGAGCCACGGGACACATAAGAGATATGGGAATATAAGAGAGAGAGAAGTAAAGAATTAAGAGAAAAGGTTGAAGTGGTAAGAAGAAGTGGAAAAGGTGATTTGTAAGAGGGTGAGAGACCTGATTAAAGAAGAAAGAGGGTAGCAGCATGAGGGGAGAGAGGAAGGGAAAGAGAGAGAGAGAGAGAGAGAGAGAGAGAGAGAGAGAGAGAGAGAGAGAGAGAGAGAGAGAGAGAGAGAGAGAGAGAGAGAGAGATTTATTAAACCAGAGCAATACATGGGAGAGAAGAGGAGAGAGGGAGAGGATCCGCGACAGAAGGGAAAACGGAATGACAAGATATAAAAGGAACGAGAAAGATGAGTGGAAAAGAATAAAGCAAGAAAAACAAGTGAAGGAGTTACAAGTCACGTGGGAGAGACAGCAACAGTGGTCGACAGTAACAGTGAGCGACAGCAACAGAGACGACAGCAACAGTTTGCGACAGCAACAGTTTGCGACAGCAACAGAGACGACAGCTACAGTGGGCGACAGCAACAGTGGACGACAGCAACAGTGAGCGACAGTAACAGAGGCGACAGCAACAGTGAGCGACAGTAACAGAGGCGACAGCAACAGTGAGCGACAGCAACAGTGACGACAGCAACAGTGAGCGACAGTAACAGAGGCGACAGCAACAGTGAGCGACAGCAACAGTGGGCGACAGCAACAGTGAGCGACAGCAACAGTGAGCGACAGCAACAGTGACGACAGCAACAGTGAGCGACAGTAACAGAGGCGACAGCAACAGTGAGCGACAGCAACAGTGGGCGACAGCAACAGTGACGACAGCAACAGTGGGCGACAGCAACAGAGGCGACAGCAACAGTGAGCGACAGCAACAGTGGGCGACAGCAACAGTGAGCGACGGCAACAGAGACGACAGCAACAGTGGGCGACAGCAACAGTGGGCGACAGCAACAGTGGGCGACAGCAACAGAGACGACAGCTACAGTGAGCGACAGTAACAGAGACGACCCCAACAGTGGGCGACAGCAACAGAGGTGACAGCAACAGTGGGCGATAGTAACAGTGGGCGATAGTAACAGAGACGATAGCAACAGTGGGCGATAGTAACAGAGACGACAGCAACAGTGGGCGACAGTAACAGAGACAACAGCAACAGTGGGCGACAGTAACAGAGACGACAGCAACAGTGGGCGATAGCAACAGAGGCAACAGCAACAGTGAGCGACAGCAACAGAGGCGACAGCAACAAAGGCAACAGCAACAGAGGCGACAGCAACAGAGGCGACAGCAACAGAGGCGACAGCAACAGAGGCGACAGCAACAGAAGTGTTCTAAGATTCTTGCGATAGGAAATTGCTGTCCTGGACGAAGCTCTAGACCCGTGTGGAGTCATTGTCAGCTTACGAAAGACTCGAATAAGAGAGAGAGAGAGAGAGAGAGAGAGAGAGAGAGACAGACAGACAGACAGACAGACAGACAGACAGACACAGATAGACAGATAGACAGAAACAGATAGACAGACAGGACTAGACTTTGTTTTGTAGTATGAGGAAATGCTAGACAAGAAGGCTGGAGGGTTATCATGGAAGTCGGAAGGTTGGAACTGGAATCCGGCGAAAGACCGGAGGGCGAAGCCAGATACTTCTGAGGGCGAGGCAAGGCACAGCTGAGGGTGAGGCCAGGCACTGCTGAAGGCGATGCTAGGCACTCCTGAGGGCAAGGCCAGGCACTGTTAAGGGTGAGGCCAGGCATTGCTGAAGGCGAGGCCAGGCACTCCTGAGGGCGAGGCCAGGCACCGCTGAGGGCGAGGCCAAGGATTCTTGAGTCAGCAGGCTCCTGTAAACTCACCCCCCCCCATCCCCGTTCCTCCCGGACGAGGCCCCCCCCCGGGTCAGCAGGTTCCAGCACCCTCACTGGGACGATGAAGCTGTTGTATATTTTGTAATAAATCATAAATTTATTAGTGCCCCTGAGTCCAGCATTTAGCAACACTCCTGCCACTGAATTTTTAGACCCCACCCCGTGTCTCCTTTACCACCTTGTTCCCC